GGAGAGAGAGAGAGAGAGAGAGAGAGAGAGAGACGAGAGAGAGAGAGAGGAGAGGAGGAGAGAGGAGAGGAGAGAGAGAGAGAGAGAGAGAGAGAGAGAGGAAGAGATAATTAAATAACGCCATGTTTGCCTTGGATAACTTAGAAAAAATGTTTGGATAACTTTCAGCTATTTTTCCTATCTTTCTAACGCTACTGTTCACATCGTCTGGTACATAAATAAGCAGCTCACCAAGAGATGTGCATCATCCTCCGATATATTCTTAGTTTAACGTTTTGGATGGATCCTATGTCAATTCTCGAAAACAATACTTCGAAGGCTCCAATCTCATGTCAGCAACTGACACATTAACACCAGAACATAAAACACGATCGTGCAAACAACAAACGTTTCAGAGATGGCATTCATTACCGTTTTGGGCTTGCGAAAAAATTCACACCCAAGCCGTGAAGAAGGCGCCATTAAGATCACACACTGTGACCTGCACAATCAGCATGGTATATCACAACGCTCTATGCCGAGGCGTAGGCCACGCGTGATTTTATCAGTCAGTTTTCTTGTCTATCTGATGTACTGACAACATTGATCCAAACAGATTATTCAAAAGTATGATGAATTTGTTGGCTTCGCACTGCTATGTGCTCACCAAAGAGTAAACCTTCTAGAATGTCGAGTGTCTGCGTCGTTTCCTGACCTTAGAATTTACATACTTTGTGTATGCACTTTTGTGTGAGCACAAAATACCAAAATTTCAACATCCGCAGACATCACAAGAAGACCCAGCACTTTGGAAGCCTTGCTCGTTGATGACCAGGCACACGTACTAAACAAACGATTTCATCAAACTTTTGAATTAGCTCCTTAATAGAATTGACTTATCTTTTAACAGGATTGGCAATGAATAATACAACCAAGTAAAACGACAATGATTCTTCGCGGGGATTACGCATTCGGCACGTAGTATTGCGATTTGTTGTGCCAATTATGTAGGCTACAATGAGTGATGCTCATAATGCCTTTTGCACATCTAGGGAATGATTTGTTTTTGCAAGGTCAAAGCAGTGGTGAATGAAAACCCATGGGAGGTTGTGTGCTATTTGTATGCTCGTGTATTACGCTCTGATTCTTAACTCAGTTGTCGACATAAGATGAAGGGGTGCTTTTGGGAACAGACATAGGATGTATGAGAAACGTAAAACAAAGAATATATGAGGCGATGACTCACATCTCTTGGTGAGCGACTTTTTAATCCTACCAGACGATATGAAAAGCAACGTTCGAAATTTAGAAAAACTTAACCAGAAGTTATGCGAGGCATAGATACATATAAACATATAGATGTATATATATATATATATATATATATATATATATATATATATATATATATATATATATATATATATACATATACGAGCATGGATATATACTTAGCCTATCAGGATATAACATGCATTTAAATTGTATTGCATTTGATTTATGTCTTTCTAAGAAATGGGAAAAATGTTGACTCGAGATGTTCATGAAGTACTTAAGCTGCCAGCAGATTGTATCTTTTCAGACTAGATCATCGCCTAGGGAAGTGATTTAAAAATAAATAGTTACCAGCTTGTCCGTAGTAGGTCCACTCATCGCCTGGAAAAGAATGCTGGATTTAGATTAAGAGCATTCAGGTGGCATGCTTCTGTCCTCGCAACCTGATGATTTCTTAAGCCGAGTGCGCAGAAGCAGGCCCTTTCAGGTGAATACTTTCTTGCTAGCACCCACGGTGAACCAGCATTGTTATACCCGTGCCCACCCGCTACCAGCGGTATCAAAGTCTTACCCGCCTATTTCCCTGCCCGTTTATCCTTTTCCCATTTCATGTATACATGGCAGCCTAGTCTTCATGATGCCCTCAGAAGCATTTGAAAGCTTGCATGCATATATGTATTGCCCCTGCTGTCTTCAGACTCAAATGCACATATCCACAATACGAAAGTCAGCACCAAGCGCTACCTACCGACTAGTACAATGAACCCGCAGGTCTTCAAACATGCATAATAGATGAGGAAGCTGAAAATGTCTGATGCTAGGGTCACACATAATGAAAAGTATAACTGATGTTTAAGACTTGCTGCCCATGTTTACCACACATGGATCACGAAGTTGTTTTACATAATGAAAACATCTTGACGTGTTCAGAGCAACTATGCCGACGATTATACGCCTTCAAGTTACCAAGATGCACTGGTTGGGCGACGTCAGAGAAAGCATCGTGGGGGCTTTGTTGTCAATACACAACGTTTCCAGGTGCGCTCATGATCGCGAGTGGTTTAAAGGGATCAGGTCACGTCATGATAACCGCAACGCTTCCAGGTGCGCTCATGATCGCGAGTGGTTTAAAGGGATCAGGTCACGTCATGATAACCGCAGCTTAAAACATACACAGAACACTTGCGGGTCATAAGTACAGTAAACACAAAGCATACCAATTAAGCACCACGTTCTTAGTGGCACTATTTTCGTGTAGTTCGGTTTCTTGTATTCATATGGATCAATGTGTTTGATTTACATGCTTAGCCATGAAACCACTCACTGAAAGGTCATTATTTAGTAGCGAAAGACTGAGACCGTTCAGCATGATACGTCGAAGGTTGACAATGGTTATTTTCTAAAAAGAAAACACAACTTACCCAGTAGGTCAACAAAGCTGCTGATCAATTAGAGGCCCATAGCTGTCAGCGTGCGAGGTCGAGACACTCATGATGCGAAAAATCAGGAGCTCATGGCCTTCCTTGATCATATCGCGAACATGTCAGTGTATGAATAGACCAGCGTTAAAACCCACCAATGGTTTGCTGCAACTTTGGCTCATAGTAACATTATCGCATTACCTGTGCCCCCGGCATGTTGTCTAATTCAAAAAGGTCCCGGGAGCAATATTCGTGCAGCCTGGAAATGATCGGACCATATTTTGCGGCAACCACCGGCACAAAACATAATCAGCAAACCCTGGGTCAGTAATCCTGAAGAAATGTTGCCTCCGCTCTAGTTCCTTCTGAACGCAATCACTTAGGACAATGGACAAAACTGCACTTGAATGATATGTTTTTTTTCTACTCATGTCCTAAAAACGTCCTCGCTTCCACTGGAAGGCGGGAGCCGCCAGACTCCAACATACATTTGGCCACCTTGTCCTGATACCTAGCGGGGCCAGCTACCCCGTCGTCACACCATCACGAGGCCAGGGGCTACCCCGTCGTCATACCATTGCGGGGCCAGCGGCCACCCGTCGTCATACCATCACGAGGCCAGCGGCCACCCCGTCGTCATACCATCGTGAGGCCAGCGGCCACCTCGTCGTCATACCATTGCGGGGCCAGCGGCTACCCGTCGTCATACCATCGTGAGGCCAGTGTCCACCTTGTCGTCACACCATCGCGGGGCTAGCAGCCACCTTGTCCTCATACCATCGCGGGGCCAGCGGCCAACCCGTCGTCATATCATCGTGAGGCCAGCGTCCACCTCGTCGTCATGTCATCTCGGGGCTAGCGGCCACCCTGTCGTCATACCATCGCGGGGCCAGCGGCCAACCCGTCGTCATACCATCACGAGGCCAGCGGCCACCTCGTCGTCATATCATTGCGGGGCCAGCGGCTACCCGTCGTCATATCATCGTGAGGCCAGCGTTCACCTCGTCGTCATGTCATCTCGGGGCTAACAGCCACCTTGTCCTCATACCATCGCGGGGCCAGCGGCCAACCCGTCGTCATACCATCGCGAGGCCAGCGAGCTACATGATTGTTAATCCAGAAGAAGGAATATTTTCAAGACGCATTTTCTGGACATTCAAAAGTGGCACAAATAGCTTAAACGCTTCAAGTAGCACTGCAAAACGTGCGTTCCCTCGTGCACCAAGCTAATTTCCCATGTCTTGTCTGTATTTTCGATGTCATATGTCTTTGCTACAAAATCCGTGTAACTTTGCCATGGGATTATGCCGTCGCCTTGGTCGCCTTAGTAACACCAGCACTTGCTGGATGTCTTCAATTATATTGCAGAAAGTGATGTAACTACGTTTGACTTATACGTGTACGGCTGCCAAGTTTGCCGTCGAATCTTAAGTTTGTGAACTATTGTTTGCTTCACTTGACACTTTTGACGCTCATAAATCATAAAGGTGTAAGGTCGCAGGTCTCGCAGTTAACCGCGAACACCCTCTCCATTTACCACAGTAGACCACTGGACTCGCACTTAAGAAGAACCGGCCTCGACTCCCAGTAATTCCGAGGAGATAATTTGGATTGTGATGTGTACATCGCTGATAGCTAGGCATCATCCAGTCGTTCTCAGGGCTCTACAACGTCTGACGACGGCCGGAGAATTGCCTGCCCGAAGCATAGTGTGTATACTAGTGCAAAAGACGATGACGACATTTCGAACAATTATCCCATATGTGATGCCACTACTTCGTCTCAATCCTTCCATAAACGTGCACCCCTAACTAATGTGAAGGAACAACCCCGCAGGCTGGGGTCTCGCAATACAACCCGCGGCCAGTCGTTCGGGCTCTTCAATCAGGCCCTTGGTCGTCGGTCCAGAGGGGCTCTTTTGTGCCCTCTGGACATAAAGGGAAGGGGTCACGTGCATCTGTGCCTCCTGGCGTGTGTCCCTAGTGATAGCATCCTTGAAATTCAGTTCCCGGCGGAAATAGAGACTTGCAACCATTTAGGATGTCTATGGATTTTGGTGCGCATTACAAAATGTGGAGTCCGAACTGAAGGTTTTGTGACACATTTACCAAGGGGGTAGAGTCACGGTCTGGTCAAGGTGGAGGCATAAATAGTGCGGCGCCCTTGGCATTCGATGCTCTTAAAAATGAAGTGTAAGCGTTTCAAAATGAAAGCTTTTGGTGCCCCTTTGGCCCCCGAAGGAGCCGATCCAAAATTTCGGCGGGGTTGAATTCACGGGAGGTGGGGTGCGCCTGAAATTCAATGCCCCTTGAAAGGGAAGGTCTGGCGGTCGTAAAAATGGCACCCTTGGATGAATTGCCTTTTTTTCATTGTTGTAGAGTCCGAAATTGAGGTTCTGGTGCCCTTAGCCGAATGAACTGATCCAGAATTTCATCAAACGGGAGAAAAGTGCGTTTCGATGCCTCTGAGACTTGGCCGCTCTCGCTAGTGAAGATTTTTGGGCCCTGCGTGATGCACCCAGACTTTGGTGCCACTTGAAATAAAGGTTAAGATAATGCGAAATAGGGGCTCTTGATCCTTTCATCATGCCTTTTGGTGCCCTGACTGGGCGCCATAACCTCATGGGTGGCCTTGGCTCATACCCCCTTCCGGATCTGCCCCTAGTTATACAGCCCTATTTCTTCATTGGCCATGTTGTAGTTTACCTCAATTATGTCATTTTAATCAGAATTTTCCTAATGCAACGTACATACAGAATTTGGAGGCATCAAGCAATACTGAATGAAACTTAGCGTCACTAACGCAGTGGATCTCCATAGCGTTAGAGTCAAATCATGAAATGCTCAAAGCTGATAAGCCCATAAAACATATATATTCTCATTGCTTACGACTTGCTTACCAGTCGGGTGGCAGGAGTGTCCGTAGGTATGAAGAGGTATGGTGGTTACCATCTTCTGGTAGTTTATATTATAAAAAAACATCTGCACAACTCTGAAAATGGACCCTGAAAGATTCTTTGGTAAAGTTTAAAGCAAAATATAAGGTCCTGAACAATCCTTTGATAAGGTGTGAAAAGGTATCGAAGATTTCAGGAGATCATCCGGCTAAATTGACCCGAAATCTTAAAATGCAGTTTGATACAAGCTCCAAACGGTTTAAGGCCTCAGAAAAACGGTTGACAACATATTTAAAAGATTTGGGACCCCATAAGACGCCGGATTCCGCTCTTAAAGATGCCATCCTCCGATCGTTTGAGGATTTTGGCACATTTCTGGCGCCTAGTCCGCAAAGATGTCACTTCGTTCGACATAACACTCCCGCCACAAGAACCTAGACACATAACTCTACCTAACTCTATATTGTCCCATAAATGTTTGACGGAAATGGGATGGTAAAATGTACCATGCAAAATGTCACATGTATAATTCAGGACAAGTATTCATATCGCTTGGTGCGCCACCTAGCGGAGCTTTCAGTTAGTTTTGAAACACTTTGCGGCGTGGTCGTTGCTGTCAAAACATTTACCGGCCCCGTGTGGGCTTGCGGGCATTGTCTTAAAGCAGTCCGCTGCCTGAGTTGAGCTTTATCCTTGTGACATGTGACAAGACATACAGAGAACAGCCTGCAACACAGACGTCTTCACGAAACACGGGCATGAGAAACTGTTTTCGAGGCCGCTGTGAGAGGCGGCTGTTTCTACATTTTCCACATTGTTTCTACGCTTTGCAAACTAGCTGCAAGTGATAGAAGCAAAACCTAGAGGTGCATGCTGAAAATAAGAAAAATACAAATCACACATAGCGCAGATCTCTTCTCACTGAGCCCCGCACAGTGGTCTAAGAAGACCCTGACATAACCGCAATAACAAACTGCCAGATTCCTAAATAACCTGAGCCCGACCCCCGCGACTGTCCAAGCACCGCTGCTGGCGTTTGGCCTCTCACCCGCCTGCACAGTGGAGGCAGCCGCTGCGATCAGCAGGCCGGCGAGCGGTGAGGCGATCGGCGCCATGTCCTCGGCCGGCGGTCTCCTCTCCGTGACCCCAAGAGGACTGGGCGGCGACGCGCCGCGCTCCACAGCTCGTCCCTCGACCCTAGGCTGCGGCGCCAGGCCCGCGTGGTGCCCGCGGCCAGCCAGCCAATCACGGCCCGTCAGCCACGCTTCTCAGCCAATCAAGAAGGAATTCGGGCAGAAGGATTGCAAGGCCTAGTTCGACGGGTGCAGGTGTCTAACATTTAAATGCCAAGGCAACTTTTTTCGCACCACGGGAGGGTTTAATGTCTCTTCATGGAAGTGGTCCCGCTTAGATAACACCCGGCTTCACATTTACTCATGATCGTTCATGGCAAGCAAGATTTTCAAAGAGAGGGTGTCCAGTCGAATTAGACTTCGCATTGTGCGCATAAGATTGAGGGAATTTGTATTGATATTGGTTGGTACCACTTCTTTTTACGAATTCGTTTCCATCGACCAGATATTTCAAGGAACCGAAATCTTTGCTGGAGATACAAAGTTATCGGGCGACCCTCAAACATCTCTCACCACTGATTCACCGCTCATATCGCGAACGTCTGGTTAGCGTCAGCGAATGGTCTTCGGATAAGGGCGCTCGTCAACACTGACAGCAGATTTCGAACATCCCGACCGCGGCCATTTTGCAAGCACATATTTGTTTCCGGTTTTTAGGGAGGACTGAGAAGAGGCACTAGTGTCACGGGTGGAATAATTTTCCCAACTGTCGTCCTCCTCTGGTGAGTTAGTTTTGGGAATGCACGCAGAAGATGAGGGAAGTGTATACATATATATATATATATATATATATATACATATTTATTTTGCTTGCTGTTTATATATATATATATATATATATATAAACAGCTAATTTATGTATGTATATACGAGATATATGACATGCAGCGGTCACGTCTATTGAGGCAGACTGTATTTGTTTTACACAGACCTGAAGCGTTAATTTACCGTATTCGGCATCAGCACGGGAATATTTATCGTTCTTGCCGGAAATATCACTATTCCAAGTCAAATACCATGTTGTCGGGTTTCTGCCAGCTGATTATGTAATACTGATGCTGGTGTTTTGTGATGACTTTTTGTGTTATTCCATTTTTGGGGCGTGTCTCTCCCCTAACCCGTTGTCAAGTCTGAGGTAAAAAAATTCCTGTTTCGTCCACTCGCCCCCCGACAACAGAGACCTATATCAACGCCTGTCCTTTATGAGAAAAAGACTAAAATGTTCTCTGCTGCCCAAAGTTCTGAGCAACATATTATTTCACAAAATGTTTAGTGCGATGACACCACGCACATTCTAACGCTGAAACAGAAAATTTGTTTTAGCGACCGAAACTTGTTCAGCACTGCTGTGTAGGGAAACAGTGTGGGTGCTTTTTGGGCACATTTCACCGTCTCATAGTTTCACGAAGGGCCATTTTAGGGCCGATTCCAATCAGCTCCTCGTCTGTACTGCACTGCATCATCGTATCAGTACTATTGTACTGGTCCTGATGATGATACACAATGTATCAAAACGTTAACAACAACATAAATGATAGCGACTGCTGGCTCAATCATAACGGTTTGCTGCTTCTTATATATATATATATATATATATATATATATATATATATATATGGATGTGCGCTTTGTACTCATTTCTACATTCTGCGAACCAGGACTGCGCCTCCGTTTGTTTGTTACGGTACGTTTGTGTGTGTGTGTGAATAGGAACCGAATCGATGCAAGGGTGGCCAGCCAAAATGGACGTGGTGGAGACGTGGGGAACGTGTGAATCTGTGGCAGATGGAAAAAGCGTTATGTGTGGGATACGCGGACGGTGATTGTGGGGTGGCTGCTGCGTTGTGCTAAGTGCTGTTAGTGTTTTGGAAGTGGGCTGTGTGGGTCTGGCAGCTCGCCGCGCACAAGGTCGGAGAAATTGTAGCCTGCGTCGATGTAAGAGTGGCAATGTGTGCTTCCGCCAGTAAGCTGGACACCAGGGACATGTGGAGGGTCCCTCGTAACTATGCAGAGGGTGGCGCTCTGGATGGACTGTAGGGTGTTAATTTTGGCGGAAGAAATGCAATCAAATATAAAGGCATTTGGCCATTTGACACGTTTGCCCCAAATTTGTTGAAGTGATCCCTCATGTGTACTTCAGGATGATGTAGATAGAGGTCTTAAGCAAGTGGTCAGACCATCCATTTCTCAATGTTAAGCCGACATGGCAAACCTAAAGTCATTTAGTATGAATGACCAAATCTAAATAAATGCCTTTGCTGCGACTGAAAAGGCAAACAGCAAAACTGGTTGTGTGGCCATCCATAACTCATGTTACGTTTGAACGAGAAAGATGGTTTTGTGGAGCTTACCTATTATTGCCCTTGATATAGGCTAACCATGACAATAAGAATGAGCTGCTCAAAGTGATCTACATAGTTGATGGATGGTCTTGTCCTGTAAGTTGGCTGTTGGGTTTTAAGTTGTCAACATGCTGACACGAATGAATTGAACAAAAACGCAAGTTGGACGCAGCCAAAATTAAGCTTTATCATGTGTTTGTCACAACTGTTGCTGTCCAGAAATATGTGAGATAAGTTGACATGATGTTCAACATATGGGCTACTCTAAATTAGGTTGAGTTGGCTACTTGCATGGTAAGTAGCAGTAGGAATTTTGCGAGAATCAGTAACTCACAAATGCTGTGATTCAAATAGGTTAGAAAGGATGAGATGAGGTAAGGCTTCTTTAGGTTGTAGGCTTAGTACTTCTTTACTAGTACTACTTGCCGTGGAAATAAGCATAGATGTCATGCTTTGTCTGTCCTTCTTTGTTCGATTTCGTGATTTTCGACTTCTATGCTTGTTGAATTTGTTGTTGCTTTTGTTGTTGAATTCCTTTGCTTTGTTTGCTTTGTTTTGTATTCAAAAATCCTGTGGAAGGGAAGCGCAGGGTACAGCATCAAAACATTGGTGTTACGTAGTTTTTGACGTTCAACACACCATTATGAAATTACTATTATTTAGTGTATTCTGTTTCAGTGTAAGGACTTAAGATTTGGAAACTCAAAACAATTTGCGTTCATTGTCATTGTCATCATGTTTATGATATTACGTCTATGCCAACTTGAAATGTATGCCTTTGTTTGCCAGAGTATCTCGCACTGACTCATAAGTTCTAGCTTTTGTAACTTGATTTTTTTCCGTCCTGTACGACCCGTTTTTGCGATGAAATTTTTCGCTCCCAGCCCAGCCCGAAAGCGATTCAAGCTCACTGGGGCCGAGTGCCGGTCGGCGCGGACATCGCACGTCGGGTGGAGGGCGCGGCAGGCGCGCGTCCAGCTGCTGTGGCCGAAGGTCTGGCAGTTCGCGTACTGCTGAGGGGCCGGGATCTACGGGCGCTGTGGCACGCGTATGTAGCCGCACAGCAGGTACGGCGGGACGGCAGTGCCCCGGAAGTGCACCTCTCCACCTCCCCAATTTTTCCCATCCCTAATGTCAATAACACAAGCGATGGGTCGTGAGGGTTCGGTGGAGGGGGGAGTGCGGGTCCCGCGGCGAGGGGGAGGCCCAGTCACGGTATACCGGAGAGCAGAAGGCGGCGGCATCGTTGGTGTTTGTTTGTTTCTTTTTGTTTTTGAAGGACATAAGGCTGTCAAGTGTGGGCTTAAGGTCTATCAGTGTAGATGATGGTTGTTGTTGCTTACAAAATGGGCGAGACGACGAGGTGAAATACACCACACAGAGTACACTTGAAACACCGAAAGCTATCGCAAAAATATGCACTGATCAGCCTACCCCTCCCCCCTCCCCCACTTTTTGCTCAACCTGCAACAAAATCTACAATGAACCATAGGCATAAGAACGTTTCAAAAAGTGGGGGGCCAGGCTCAGGGCGTACCTAAGAACCTTTTTTTCTGGAAAACAAACCCGATGACCGGGAGGGGGGGAAGGATAGAGGCTATCACTCCTAATTCAAATGTAATGACTGTTGTTTTAGATATGCATGTAGAGCTGTTTCTCACTGAGGCACACTCTTGCCTATCCGACTCATCTGTTATTCGGCAAATAAGGCTATCAAGTCTCCCAAGATTATTCTTCTATTTCAACGTTGTCTTTCCTAGGGAGGCGAAATTCCACGAGCGGATAGGCATTTTGGGACATTGAGGAGGCATCTGTCTCTACAGGGTAGATGCCAAAATATGGCCTGAGCATAGGCTGGTGAGAACTCTGAAAGTGAATCGATGGCTCACAGTATAACAGATTTTGCATGCGCTTTCATTTCGCTGGCTGCTTTTCAAGGGATAAGGCTTGCCGCGGCATTTTAGGCGAAAACAAATTCGGAAGGTTGAAGCTGACAAAAGCCATGTGACAAAAGCCAGAGAACCCTTCTGTCATGCATTCCTTGTCTGAGCTCTGCTCCCGTCCGCCGTCGGTGGCCACTGTCCTGGCCCGGCTGGCTCCGAATGACTGACCGCGAACCGATCGCATGGCTGCTTTGTTGCACATTTTTGGATCAGCATTGCTACTAACTGGGATGTAAAACATGCGTTGAACACCTGCAACATTACTCTCTTTCTGAATTATCTTCCCTTACACCACACCACCGTGGAAAAATGCCTCCGGGAAGCTGCCTATGTTAGGCATGAATTGGCCCAACGGACATTTGATTGCCTGTCATTCAACGGAGATGCCTTGATCTACTTTTGTGTGTAGGCAGGAGATAGCCAGAGCCTTGCTAAGAGGAACACAGGGTTGACCCCCCTTATGGTGATCCCGCCCCCCCCCCCCTACAGAAAAGTCCCCGGCTATAGTTTGCTTGTTAACAAGGGATGCGTTTTCTTCGTTTCACTGTTGTTTGTCCGTTGTAATGAGAACAGAAACCAGAAGCTCCCATGAGATCAATTCTGGTTACACTTCTAAGGTCAATAAATTGCAGAAATCAGGCGTTTAATCACCGCATGGAGCAAATCATCGGTGTCGTTAATTTACAATGGCTTAGTAGACTCTTTCTAAATGAATAGAATTCAGAAGCTTTT